CCCGCATCGGGCTTCCTGCTCCTTGGGAGCCTGCTTCTCCCTCTGCCTCTCTCTCTCTCTGTCTCTCATGAATAAATAAATAAAATCTTTAAAAAAAAAATCTATTATGTAAGAGTTAAAATTTATCAAAACTCAACACACACACTTACAGACTGTATGTGGCAGCATTAGCAGTCAAGAGAAATGTAAATGAGCATAAAAATGCAATATTAAATCATAACTGTATAAAATTAACTGTAGCACATACTGTACCATAGCAGTTTTGTAGCCGCCTCTGGTTGCTATTGCAATGAGCCCAAATGTTGGGAGTATCCCAGTATCTGCACAAAACGTGTAATGCTAATACCACCATCTGAGCAGTTGCCTGGCTGGTAAATTGCATACTGTAGTAAAGAGTAATCTCTTGTGGTTCTTGCTATTAGTAGTTAAGTTTGCGGGGGGAGTCAAAAGTTCTGTGTGGATTTTCGACTGCGTGAGGGTCAGAGCCCCAACTCCTGTGTTGTTCAGTAGTCAACTGTAGAGTCCAGTTGAAAACATGTTGTGTTGGAGGCATGTGTTCCTTATGTGGGCATGCTCCTTGTTTTTTGGAGGATCCACCTCACATGTCTGATCCACTCTTCCCAACTCTTAGTTCTCATAGTTTGGGTGGGGGTCCACCCCAGTTCTAAGGGTCAAGTACACAGTCCAAGCCTACGTTGATCAGTGCACTGCATACCGTCAGACCCATTGATTGGCCTGGGTGGGCACATGAAACAGGCCAGGCGTGGGAACAGCCCAGGAATTTAGAGAAAGACACCATCTCCTACGGCTGTGCTGAAGCCCAAGCTGTCCCTTGGCTGTTCAGTTACACGAGTCAATAAATTCCTGCTTTGCTTACAACAATTGAAATGGAATTTCTCATGACCGACAACAAGCTGTGGGACAGCCAGGTAGAGATGTTGGGTTCAGCAGAGGACTTGAGAATTCTCGAGATAGATTTGGGCTGGGGATATAGAAATGTAAGTCATGAGCATACAGATCAAAGCCATGAGTCTGGAGAAGGTTGCCCAGGGAAAATGCATTGTGTAGAGACCCATTAGTGTGAGTGCCATGAAAGGGGAAGCACGGAGCCTGATCGTTTGTGGGAGGGACGCTTCATCCCCACTTGGAGTTTTGCGAGGCTTCCTGGAGAAAAAAACCATGTAGGCTGAGAAGGGAAGGGTAGGTGGAAACGGACCTGGGAATGGGTGTGGTGAGGGTGGGACAGAGTTCCGGGCAGAGAGCTCGGGCCAGGAGGTGAGAGAACCCCCTCGTGTTGAGGGAACTAAAGGTCACAATGGCTGGAACATAGTAAGTGCACGCATGAAGGCAGAACCCGGGAGGCCCAGTGCACAGTGAGCAAAGTGGGGGTGCTGTGCCTGGCCTTTCATGCCCAAGAGCCCTGGGGAGTCCACTGAAAGGCGAAGCTGGAGAGCAACCAGATCAGAGGCTTCAGGAAGGAGGAAGGTCTGGAGACGGGCAGGGCGAGAGGAGCGGAGCCACTGAGGAAGCTGCTGCAGTATCCAGACAGAGGTAGTGGTGCCTGGGTCGGGGGAAGCCTGAGGTGGGTTCGAGGGATATTTTGGTGAAGAATGAGATGAACTTGAGGGTTTGGGTGGATGTGACGAGTGACTTCCATGTTTCTGGGCAGGGCGGCTAGGTGGATGGAGGTGCCATTTCCTGAGATGGGGGCAGTGGAGGAAGGGCCAGATGGGGGCTTGGGAGGATGGTGAATTCAGTTTGGGGTATGCAGATCCAGAGAATGTTTCTCGAGGACAAGAATCTTCTCTGCCTTGGGCGCCTGGGTGGCTCAGTTGGTTAAGCGACTGCCTTCGGCTCAGGTCATGATCCTGGAGTTCCGGGATCGAGTCCCGCATCGGGCTCCCTGCTC